TTTCGGACTTAAAGGTCATAATTGAATCAATTTAAAATTGATTCTCCATCATGTATGTCTGTATGGGTACAAAATAATTATTTATTATGTCTAACAAAAATTAAATTAAATTTCTAAACTCACACATTATTCTAGAAATTTTAATTTCTTTAATAAAATAAATAACTACATAATTCAAAAGTAATTTTAAACTTTTGAACCATTTAGTCAAATAAATATAAATAACTTTACATTTCAATTGCCTTGTGATCATGTCTTGTGGCAATTTTATAAAAGTATTACACTAAACAGAATAATTGTAATAAAAAAACAATACCAAACCAAAGTTTATAATCCCATGTACTTTTCAAATCAATCCAGGCACGTAAAACAAGAAACAAACAATCATGTTTGTTTATATCTATTCATAATGTTTAATACAAATGGATCCAAACATGAAACCAGTAGCATTGTAAGCATGTACGGGAATTCCAGACAATACCACGAGACGAATAAAAATTGCATACTTTGTAAATTTCCACACACACACACACACATATATATATATATATGTTGATTAAATTTTTTTTTAATTATATTTTAAATTTACATATATTATTTATGCAACATTAATGAATTCCTAAACCATAAGCTCTGATACAACATGTAAACTATAATTATTCGTGTTAAGTCATTCATCACAAATAAACATGAATCCCATAATCTTATAACTTCATTATTTTCACAAAGCCTATAATACATAAATAAATACTAGTTAGATATAAATATCTCGATTCATAATATCAAACCTTGTTGAAATTAAGTTCAACGTCTAGATCCTTTAATCACGAACTAATCTGCAACTCTAATCAACAGGCGAAGGTAGAAACTAGTTTCTCTCTCTTGGCCTTTTGCACACATAAAACTTTTACGTCTTGTATCATTAGTATACATAATTAATGGAGTATATGCACTTTTATAAAGACAGAGAGAGGACCAGTTTTCCTTTTAGTAACCTAATTCTACTTTCCATCAAAGTTAAGGAATAAGAAAGGAAAACACTCTCCAATAAGTAATTACCAAAAAAGTAATTATAAGTTGACCAAAAAATAAATAATATTAATTGATATCTAATTACTTAACCACCAAGTAATAGGTCACATGTGCAAATCATGTGGGCCACAATTAAATAAATAATCTTACACGGAGCAGAGTGCACAGAAGCTCCTGTTGAAGTGGCTGGAGAGGTTGAGACAGAGGTGAGTGAATAATTATTTTTATCTATTTATTTATTTTAAATTTTAAATGATATGTTTTATTCATTTTTTAATTTTTTATTTCCATGTAGACTGTGCTGCTTTCACAAATTTGTTTGTTTGTTTGTTTTTTTTTTTAAAGAATATAAATAGTATGTATAGCACCAATTTTTTTGAGATGGCAATTGACACCACCTTCTACAGACAATTTGATGGACATGAACATGGACATGGTCATGGATGAATTTGAGACGGGTGAGTTTAATAACAGTAATTTTGATTACAACATTTATTTGATTTGTTTTATAACTTTTATTACTTTTTACACAATTTATGTGTACATGACCTGGTGTCCATATTTCGGAGACTAAATTAGCAATTTAGAACAATTGGCATAGTTAAGAGTGCAAAAATGGCCCAAAGTCTACCTTAATCCCATATGAGTGGCCAATTCTCTCTCCAATGTCATTTCTCTTAATATGTTTGACTTTTTTAGATAAATGTTAATAATCTCAATCCAATTTATTTTCGGTCATCAGCTACTTGTTTGGAACTTTCAACATGTCGAAGTTTGGTCAACAATTTTGTCTTTCGAATCTTTATATGTTATAATCTATGAAGCACGGACACTCCTCCCAGGGATCCCGTACCCGTGTCGGATACTTTTCGGACACCGACACCCGTGTCCGAGGCTCGGACACGTGTCCGACACTTCTATAAAGTGTCCAAATATTATTTTTTATTGGACACGCGTGTCCGAGGCTCGGACACACGGTCCGACACTTTTGTGAGACAAAATTTATTTTCTCACTCCTCTCAGTCTCTCATATTCTTCAATTATCTCTCTTCATGAACAAGATATATATATATATATATATATATATATATATATATATTTATAAAAGTTACATGAACAAAACTTTGTGAAAGACTGAAAGTATACATGTTTATTCATATACATATTTAGTTCATTATAGTTATGTCTCTTCTGCACATCTTCGTTTGGAATTTGGATCAACTTTATTTTTCATTTATTTTCTGTTTTGTCTTGTCTATATTTTTCTTATAACAGAGATGAAATTATTGAAATTGATTCTGTTATTTGTTGTTGTTTTATTTATCTGTACAAGATTCTAGTAATTATATTTTGAATATATATATATATATATATATATATAATTTTATAGGCGTATCCCTGCCGTGTCCGTGTCATATTTTTTTGAAATTTGCCGTGTCGCCGTATCCGTGTCGTGTCGTACCCGTGTCCCGTATCCATGTCCATGCTTCATAGGTTATAATGGTTTTCTAGTAGACTGCCTATATTGATATTATGGATCAAAATCGTCTCTAGTGGAACAGGAGAATCTTTTTCCCTGTTCCTATTGTTCATGCACTGTAACGGTGGTAAAAATGGCCAAACAAGATTTTGGATAAAAAAAGATATATATATATACACACACAGACATATACAAAAAATATATACACATATACGAAATTATATATATAGATATATACGAAATTATACCTATTGAAACTCAGATTTAAGTGCCAAATTGGAAATTCCAAAACAAATTTAGCGCATCTTCTAAATTTCTAATCTTCTTTCTTCTTCTTCTCTCCCAATTTTTCTTCCTTCTTTCCAAATTTACAATTTCTTTCCAAAGATTTCATTGAATGTCGGAGAAGAGGAAGCTACCGTGATGAAGGTATAGTGCTGTTCTTAATCTTCTTTCTTCTTCTCTCCCAAAGTATAGAAATAAATAAATTCGTCTTCCCAAAAAAGTCCCAGCTTTCGTTAATTTTCTTCTTTCCTTTCCAAAGGTTTGATTGACCGTTGGAGAAGAGGAAGCTACAGTAACGAAGGTATAGCGCCTGTTCTTAATCTTCTTTCTTCTTCTCTCCCAAAATATAGAAAGAAATAAATTCGTCTTCCCAAAAAAGTCCCAGCTTTCCTTAATTTTCTTCTTTCCAAATTTACAATTTCTTTAGAAAGGTTTAATTGAACGCCGAGGAAGACGAAGCTACAGTGTCCTGTGTTTGATTGAAGATCGAGGAAGATGAAGCTACAGTGTACTAGTTTTGTAAGTGAATTTGTGAATCGTATGACATTGTGTTTCATTAGTTTTGTTTGGTTATTCTTGAACTGTTATTAAACTGTGAAAAATTGAATGAGAAATTGTGAAAATTATATTATTAAATTGTGTAAAAGTTGTGATATTCTGTACTATAAGTTATGTTATATTTTAAATTTCCAATTTAAGATGTTAGAATAAATTTTCCATTGTATTCCTGTAATGGCGTGTTTTATTCGTGATAAATACTACAATATATTTGGCATATTTTATATAATAAGAAATGGAGGTTGAATGGAGGTTTTATACTTCCAATTTAAGATGTTAGAATAAATTTTCTATTGTATTCTTGTAAGTTTTCATTAAGAGTTATGATTGTTCATTATAAATAACTTAACATGGTTGTAATGTTTCTCAAAGTAAGCCCAAAAAAGTTTGCAAGTCCATGTTTGATTTGGAAAAAGTTAAATGAAAATTGACCATAGTTGTAATTTTTATGAAAATAGAAGGCCCAAAAAGGTAGGAAGTGCATGTTTGAGTTGAAAAAAAGTTAAATAAATTATTTACTTTGTTATTTGTAGCAAAATTAAAATATATGTAGTTGAGGAAGTTGGTTCCCTGATACATTATACTATCTTGAATAATATTAATAGGTCTGAAAATTATTCCAATTAATAATTCATACCTGCAACACAGCCCTTTGTTCAAACTGTTTTTATTTTATTTTTTTATTTTTTTATTTTGTAGGTTTCTGATTTGAATTATTGGAATAGAAGAGGTATTAAATAACATCGAAGGCACCACATATACAGAAAATGCTCATATTGCAGGGGTCGATGTCGTAGAATGGAAACCAAGAATAGGTATGAAGTTTGAAACTGAGGAAGAGGTATATGATTTCTATAATTCATATGCCGGTCGAGTCGGTTTTAACATCCGCAAAGAGTATTTTAATAAGAGCAAGAAGACTGGTAAACTGTCATCGAGATTGTTAACATGCTACAAGGAGGGTTTCAGGGTTGACAACATTCGGGACAGTAATACAAAGACTCCCAGGGCCGAAACACGAACTGGTTGCTGTGCTCGAATGCTTATACAACTTTCCAAGTATACCCATAAGTTGGAAGTTACAAAATTTGTTAAAAGCCACAACCATCCATTGATGATTGATGAATGCATGCACATGCTGCCGTCCCAGCGTAGAATTAGCCGTGTTCAAGCCATTGATTTGGAATTGGCTTCTGATTCAGGAATAAGCCCTTGTAATTCATATGAGTTGATGGGAAGACAAGCTAGTGGAAAAGAATTAGTCGGGTACATAAAGTTGGATTTACTAAACCATATAAGGACCCGAAGACAAACTGAGCTTGAATATGGAGAGGCAACATGGCTAATGAATTATTTTGAGACTCAGTCTTGTGAAGATCCATCTTTCTTTTATGCATTCCAATTAGATAGTAATCAAATGATCACTAATATATTCTGGGTTGATTCAAAAATGAAAGTTGATTATTGTAATTTTGGAGATGTTGTAAGTTTTGACACAACATACAAAGTTGTACATAACAACCGTCCATTTGGAAATTTCTTGGGGTTGAATCATCACCGGGAGACCGCTGTGTTTGGAGCAGCATTCATGTATGATGAGACTGCAGAGTCATTTGTTTGGTTGTTTTAAATGTATTTGAAAGCAATGTCCGGTAAAGCGTCAAAGACGATCTTCACTGATCAAGATGTTGCAATGGGAAATGCATTGACGCAAGTGATTTCAATTAAGATCTCCACTCTTTGCATTTCCTTTTGCATTGTGTAGTTGGCAGTGGTACATGTTATTATGTAGTTATATTACAGAAAATAATTTTGTAGGTGATGCCAAGGACAAAACATTATCTGTGTGTTTGACACCTAATGCAAAATGCACAGAAGCATCTAGGGTTCTTGTTTAGATGTGCGCAAGGCTTGAAGAAGGTGTTATTGATGAGCACTGAAAAGTGCGTATTTAAACCCCTTAAACTTAGGCATTCTAGTACCTTTATCTATTTTACTTTACCGTTTTAGATTGATTTCATATTATTTCCATTTTCAGGCACTTATCCCTAAAATAAGCTAACTTAGGCAGTGGTACATGTTATTATGTAGTTATATTACAGAAAATAATTTTGTAGGTGATGCCAAGGACAAAACATTATCTGTGTGTTTGACACCTAATGCAAAATGCACAGAAGCATCTAGGGTTCTTGTTTAGATGTGCGCAAGGCTTGAAGAAGGTGTTATTGATGAGCACTGAAAAGTGCGTATTTAAACCCCTTAAACTTAGGCATTCTAGTACCTTTATCTATTTTACTTTACCGTTTTAGATTGATTTCATATTATTTCCATTTTCAGGCACTTATCCCTAAAATAAGCTAACTTAGCCAAATAAGAGCTTAATTGAAGCAATTCTGAGATTAAACAAAGAAAGGAGCAAAGTAGAGAAAGAAAGAAGCAAAATGAAGCAAAGTAGCAAGTTCGATCAATCCAAGTCCAAGGTTCGATCAATCGAACATCGATCGATCTCAGCACTTCAAGATAGATACAAGCCTTGACCCAAAGCACTTAAGTCCAAAAGTTCGATCGATCCAACATCATTCTTTGATTGATCAAACACCTTTGTCCTTATCCAAATGATTGATCCTATCCACAGTTGTACCACCCACTAACCACTTTTGTCCTTTTCCCATAAATATCTCTCACAAATATCTTGGATTTGTCTTTTTCCAAAAAGCTCAGCCAGATGGATCGATCCAGCCTAAGTTCGATCGATCTCACTTACTTTCGATCGATCGAACTTCCTCCAGTGCGAAAAAGTTAAAATTCCATCTCATTGAAAGTTGTCCTTTATCCAATCATTAGGGAATATTATGTGCACGACCCCAACTCATTTTGGGTGTCATTTTGACATACTTATATAAGGATAAGGATTACTTTTTCAAAACATGATTATTATTATTTTTCATATAATCTCTTGGAAAGGAAGTTTAGAGGAGGAGGAGGCTAGAGACACCATTGGAGACTCTTCATCAACAAGGAGCAGATTCCAACCATGGAGTTAGCCGTTGAAGGTTGGAGCATCATCACCATGAGTGGCTAGATATCCTCTTGGGGCTAGAGTTAGCCCCAAGCATGCTTTCTATATCTTAATCTTGTGTATTATTGATGGATTAGTGTTGTAATTGATGTTTTGACACTTTGATATATATAGATCTTGTTTATTCAATGATTTATGTGGTTTAATGCTTCCAATTGGTCATTTCATTCTATCCATATGTCTATGTATGCTAGAATAGATGTTCATGTGCTTATCTCTAGATTTTGTGTTATTGATGCATGTCTATGTGTATTGATACTATAGATTTAGAGATTGTCAAAACATTGTGCTTAAAAGAATGCTTTTGTGATTCTCTTGATGGTTTATGCTTACCTCTTGATGGATTGTGCCTATCCCCTAGTTTATTTTCATGCTAGTAGTGTAGATGTAGTGTAGTTGTAGTGTAGTGTTAAATGGGAGGACAATCTATGCTTGTTGTTTGATGATCCAAGCTTGTGAATGTAACTAACATATGTCTCTATCCTTGTGTTGTATTTGGATTGTGAGCTTAATGAAAGGATTAGTAACTTATTTTGATTTATTGTGCCTTTCACATGTTGTTTAAACAATATATACTTCATAGCTTAGATATATTGTGCCTTTCACATGATGTTTAGACAATACATGCTTAACTAGTTATCCTTGCTTATTGAATCAACCAAATACATACACACCACTATTGCAAGCCACTATTTGCCCTCATTAATCACTTGTCAATGATATAGAAATGCATTGCTTGGTGGTGATCTCTAAACCTCAAGATTTCTCTTTCCCTTACTTACTCTCTTTAGCATTGCATTCTTACTTAATTTAATTTAGTAGTTCTCTAGTTTAAACAACCAACCAGTCACTTGTTCGATCACTCGACCTACTAGCCCTAGTTGCGATTCCACAATCAACTCCGACATTGCTTAATCCCCATAATCCCTTGGACGATCCCTACTCACCCTTACTACGTTAGTAGTAGTGTTGGTAGTGGTTTTTATAAATTTAAACTTGACCTAAAAGGCTTTTCTTGAACCGCACATTCACTACACATTAATTTTGGCGTATAAGGAACGGCCTCTAAAGAAGAAACCGTCAATTATCAAAATTAATGTTTCAAATTTGAGGAGGAGGAAAAATTTACTAGGGAATGGAATTTAATGATAACGGAATATGGTGTTTTTGGTAACACGTGGCTTACAAATCTGTTAGGTTTGAAACATAGATGGGCCATGACATTTATTAAACATGCGTGGTCCGCGGGTATCCACAGCACACAACTGAGTGAAAGCTTCAATGGTTGCTTGAAGGTATACTTATCCTGGCAAATGATTCTTCCAGATTTCTTCACACATTTTGAAAGGCTGTTGTCCGACAAACATTACAAGGAGTATATAGCCGAGTATGGGTTGTTCCATAATCTACCTTAACTGAAAACAAATTGTAACATATTAGTAAAGGGGGCAAACCTGTACATAAAGGTTATATTTAATATTTTCCAAGAGGAGTTCTTAGCAGCTGGTGCCAGTCAAAGGATCATTGGTTGTAGTCCCATCGATGGTAACGGAGGCTGTGTTTACAAAGTCGTTGGTGAGGATGGGATGCAACGCGACGTGATGAGGATATCAAAAGATGAATTGTTATGTTCTTGCTGTAAATTTGAAAGGGAGGGTATTATGCGCAGGTATAGTTTGAAAATCCTAAATGACTCCATGTTCGCTAATACATTGCCTCGTCGATATATATTAAGAAGGTGGACTAGAACTGCTAGAAATGGCAGCATGGAGGAAAATCTTTCCAGTGAAGTGATTGCCGATGCTGATCCAAAAATTGAGGTTAGGAGACGGCACAAGGTACTTTGTCGTATTGACAGAAATTTCGTCTATTGTATCAGAGGATAAGGACGGATACAATGATTTGTTAGTAAAAGCCATGGAATGGAAAAAAATTGCCCAATCAAGTTGTAGGCATAGGTTTGCTGAGAGGAATGCAATTTATAGTGGTGGTAAGGCAAAAACTAATATTTGGGGAGCAACATAAATAGTAACAAAATCCCCAATGGCCTCAAGTTAGTGATAACACTACTTACACAAAATTATTGATTGAAGTTAGTGCCATTCCAGAACTCCAAGTACCTCATTACGAACAGACCACAACTATCCCTGATATGCAAACAGTATTTAACTGATCTACTTAGTAAGGGATATTATTGGATTTATGATACGGTGAATACAAAATTTATTATGCACTTGTATTGAAATATTTGTTTACATACGCATCATCCTTGAGAGGGATTTTATAGTTCGTCTTTGTTATGTAAGCTGACCACTTCTCTTCCTCCAGGGCAACCGTAATAAACTCTTTCTGTCATACATATCAACTTGAAGGAACTATGCATTTTTCATAAAACAAACATTAACAACCGGGGTTGATTTCATTAGATAGATGTGTACCACATAATTCCCAAATGCGACGTATCTGTGTGGTCGTCCAATTCCGCATAGGTGGTAGTCCACTACTTTCTTGGGCCGGTTGACTACGAGTAGAAACCAATGTTTCTCAATGATTGTAGGGAAGAATAACTATACGGTAATGAACATAAAGTTAGGGACAACAAAATATATTGGTCAAAAATAGGACGATTCAATCATTCGTACTTAAAATATCTTCTACTTTACTGTAATGCACAACAAATTACTCCAAAATCATTAAACTAACCAGCTCAGAATCCGTGAACACCGTCGAATCTTCAAACTTACACACTTGTTTGCATTGTTCCTAGACTTATTTTATCAGAGGCATGCGCTTCTTTGCAGTGTCATATTTAATGAGACATTGTGTTCTTTCATAAACTGGACAGCACAACTATCAAAATAGTAGTTATTCAATTTCCCTTCTTGCTCTTCGTTCAAAACCGTTGCCCAAAATTTTACCATCTGAATTGACAAATGGAATTGCAATAAGTTCATCATATCATAACCATAAAAATACATATCAATTAATTGAGATGTGTGGTGTAAATCCATGCACTAAGTTCGAGATCCAGTTCGGGTATAACAACTCGTGTATGTCGGTTAGAGAAAGATGCATATCATACATGGAAACCAGAATTTCACTAACAAATGTAAATCCTCCTTACAAATTAGTATACGTGCACTAATACAATTTTTCTTACTAAATAATTACAGACGGACAATACAATGAACAACAATATATAGACTTAGGAAATTCATAAATGTGGGTTACACTTGCCTTTGATCATGACCTCGCGCAGTAGTATAACTCAACAATTTATCCTGCTTTGGAGTCAACTGAATTTTCTGACTATCCCTAGATACCCATGGAGAGAAGTAATATGGTGCGGGTTTCTGCTCCTAGTACCTCTTCTGAGTTGTCCCACCACATCATTCCTTTTACTATGTAAAGTTTACAGGGAAATATCAGGGACTGAACAACTCGGAGTTATATGTGCTGCTCCTAGTTTCTCCTCCAAAGCAATGCCCATAGCGTCGTTCAACTCTGTCCTCTCATCCTCATTCAGTAACTCATTGTTGGTGGGAGTAAAGTGGGAATGATTTGTACGGCCAAATTCTGGTTCCTCACCTGTGTCAACAGGGGAGTTAAATGTTTCCCTCTCAACTTCATTTTCAGAATTCTGTGGCGCATCTTTGTACTCAACAGACACTCCCCCATCTACTGTACAAACACTTGCTTTTCCTCTAGCCCTTTTTGACTTTTTTCTCACCAAACTCTTCATTTTCTTGACCTTCCTCTTCAACATTTTTCTGTTTTCTGCTTCTCTTTCCATTTCATTGTGAATTTCTTTAACGCAACGCTGCATACAAAATTGTAATTGCTTGTCACTGATCAATTACATATTCACAATTTCATTCATACTCATTAACCATAAAGTAATATATCATTACCTCAACCTCACTTTCTGAACAATTACCATTGTCTTTTTCACCTCTAGACCACAACGACGACAGAGAATGGGACACATTCGCCTTGAGAGGAATTAACTGTTCCATATAAATATTTCAAACCTTATGTACGTAAGCAATGAAACGGTATCATATACAACAAAAATTGAGAGCTTGCAAATACTTTTTAAATTTAGTGTAATACCTGAACCATTCCAAAACCTCCCATTTTTAGCTCCCATTTTAAGCGTTCCCGTACAAGGGCAGTGTCCCAAAAACCAAGACTGGTTTTATCGCCCGTGGTGGGATAACAAGGGTATTGCACTTTACACCTCATCAGATATAGAAGTTGAATTAAATTGCAGCGAGTTTAATCAGTCATGATTCATACTAATGACATAAATAAAAAAGTATTTTGCAAAATATAAGTAGGTTATGTTATTTACCTACAAGAAGAGCACGCATCCGATATACTCGTGCTTTATTTTCCCACCTTCTTCAGATTCACCCAAGTGAGCCATTAAAGTTTTAAGCACATATGTACACTAGTTGTAAGACTTGATTTCATTCACATTATGCACAACCTTTAATTCTTTTACATGCAAACTGTAACGTCCATTAAGTGTTAGAAAAGCGGCACATACAAAAAGCATAAAGGCTCTTTTGAAATCTTCGCTGGGCTCACATTGTTCTACCCTTTCCATCAAAGCATTTACATGCAACCCACTTCGATATCCACCTTCACTTATCTAATCGGCTTTAACAAGCTGACATGTAGGCACGTCCGTGATTCCAACAGGTAAACCGAGGATGTTGTGGACATCAATTGTATTAATTAGGAGATATTGATTATCTTCAAGTTTAATGCGCCGTTTATTTATGTCCAAATGCCCAATGATGTAATCAAAGAGTGAGGTAGACAAATACTGATATTGAAGGTTCAGCAAATTACTGAAACCTATATCTGCCACATGTTTACTCTTTCGTCTCTAAGTTTAGATATTGCATTAATGAAGTTGGAGATCGAGCATTTGTTCCACCCACTTTTAACTTTGTATTCAACCTACAACATCCCAATAAATATAATGTCACATTAACAATTTCATTTAACTACCAATAAGAAAGCATTAATTGCATTCTTTTCTACTTTATATTATGTTATCAAAATAATAACAAATTAAATTAAAAATTTAATCAAACTTCCCAACTTACCTTCTTCTTCTTTTTGTTCACTGCTAAGCCTCTACGGTTTTTGAACTCCAAATCGCGAAATCTTTTATTCTCATAATATGAACCCTTATCCTCCATACTCATACCATTCCATGCATCCTTGCATTTCAATTCCAATATTTTTTTATCACTGCCCTTCATTGGCCCATGCACTTGTTGATAGTTCTTCATGAAAGCAACCCTCATACACACGATATTATATAAAATAACACCAACTCAACATCAACTTTTCAATTCAATACATATGCTTCACAACTTACTTATACACTTATTAATTGAAAGAAAAAAATGTTGAACCAAAAATTTCCTAAACTTTCTTAACTACCAAAGTACCATATCAGTAAAACATCAATTCCATTTTAAAGGCATGCAGAAATTATGTTTTACCATTATAAATAATTCCAAATCCTAAACAATCAATTTCTATGTCAACGTAAATATCAGACAAATGAAAAATATATTTGCTCAATAGGGAACCATAATTCATACAAATATTATTCTTAACATGAATACTAATATGATTGTATACTTACTTAAACAAAAGATAAACTCCTCCTTCACGACGCATACTATTCACTGATACGCTACTGCTTGGCTGGGGATAATAATCCTCTTCGTCCGCCTCAACATTATAATCCTCATCAGCAAGGTCAGATGATTTAGAGGTACGAGTATGAGTAGATGATTTAGGGGGGGGGGGGGGGGAGGTGTATGATCCGTTGAAGAAGATTGAGTATGCATACTTTGCATCATACATTGGCGAGTAGGAGAAGGAGGCGGATGAACGATACTATCCACGATTTTTTTTTTTGTATAGGTATTTTTTTTCGTATATGACCTTTTTTTCGAGCTTTCGACTTATTCCGACTTATTTCTAAACCAGTCTTTACAGCGCAACAAAGCACACTCTATTATGCACAAACAACTTTTCCACTAATTGTCAGTCAACCAAATTTTAACTACAAACACATAAAGCAAACACACACACGATTAACTGTAAAAATAATGCAACAGGAAAATCATACCACCCAACAACAAATACAATACACCAATTACCATTACAAATTGTATAAAACATTGCATTGCCTTACACAAATAAAATTTTATAATTTTCAATTCATTTCCCACAATTTAATAATAACAAATAACTAATCAAAACTAATGAACCAGAATTTAATTGGATTCAATCAAATTTTACTGTACTATTTATGGCGCATAACTTTTTTACAATTTCACAAATAACCAAACAAAACTAATAAATAGAATTTAATAATATATTTAATCAAATTAAACCTCTGAGTTTGGAAAGGGATAGACAGAATTTAATAGGATTCAATCAAATTATACTGGACTATTTATCACGAATAACTTTTTCAGAATTTCACAAATAATCAAACAAAACTAATAAAACTGAATTTAATATACTATATTCAATCAAATTAAACCTCTGAGTTTGGAAAGGGATGGGCATAATTTAATAGGATTCAATCAATTTATACTGTACTATTTATCACGAATAACTTTTTCAAAATTTCACAAATAATAAAATAAAACTAATAATACAGAATTTAATATAGTGTATTTAAAGAAATTAAAACCTCTGCATTAACAATCGTGACCTTCTTCCAACTCCACTTCCGAAAACCTTCCGCAAACCTAACTCCGACAACTGTAACAACTGCAACCTTCTTCAAACTGCACTTCCGAGAATCTAAGTTCGACATCTGTAACAATAACAACCTCTAAAA